AAAATCAAACGTCTATCGCCGTCGCGTGTCCAAGCAAGATTCCCAATCTTCACGCGCTTTGTCTTCGCGTGAAGGATAGCACCCCCTCCCTTTAGGCTAATAGGCGGCGATCCGCCCTGCGGACGAATCCTTCAACCCAGCGTCTTCGCCACGCGCCAGTTTCGAATCTGTCATTGCGACAATTAATAATTTTCATCATCTCTTGTGGACAATTCAAACATCTCGGTCCTACGAAGAGTAACATTCGTTCTCGCACGAGGGTGCACCAGGCGTCCCTGGATTCCCAACTCGCGGAAATATAATTATGCGCAAACTGACGATGGGCGCTATGCCATAGGGGTCGGTAGTGGTGCTCAGTCGTGTGGCGCTGTGTACGCCGCTTCCAGTCGTCGTGGTTGAGTACCAGCTGAGTAGAGCGCGTTGCTGCCGCGTGACGTCAAGCTGTCCCGCGTTGCGCGCGCCTCCAGGGCCAGTAGAGCTGCTGTCCTCAGATAGCGCGAGTGTCGACCCTCGCGTGTCGCAGCTCCCTTCCTCCTGGGACTCCAGCTGGCTCTCCCTCTCTCCTTCTCCGCGTCTTCACGGGCACGGCGAGCGAGCACCTATTCGAACTCCGGCAGAGTACACGCAGAACAAAAGAAAATAATAAATTAATCTATCGAAATTTCAATTAGGCCCTTGCGGTCGGTGGATCCTGCCTGGACTTTGCAATGGCCTTTCGGCCCGTATCGCGTTTCGGCGTGATTTTCCGCCGAGGGCAAGACGGGTGAAATCCACCACGTCACAATATATATATATATATCAACTGCGATCTGCTCTGATCGGAGGTCGATACACAAGTCTTTATTTCAAACTCAAAACTCCTGGGACTCACCCCCGGAGTCTTTACAAAGATTCTCCTACCAACATAGTCTTAACCAATCAAGTGCGAGTTCAGAAGGAACAAGGGAAGAAGACTGTGTGCTTATACTAGCCGTTTCTGACGGTCGATTCTTCGAAGAAAGGGCCAACCGTCTCCATTTCAATCATTGGCACTTGACTTGCTGGCATTAAACACTCTTAACGTAAATCAAAAGGTTTAAATAAACATAACTAGGCTAGACGCCTTTTAAATAACAGAAGGAATACAGCTCTGGTATTCATAACTAAAAGAACGTCTATTATAAGATTTATAATATAATTTCTTAAATAATTACAACGTCACCACTTGCATGTATCGATTCTCTCAGAGTTATCATTTTATAACTGAATCTCTTAATAATAATGTCTTCGATTAAACATATCCTATATTTGTCGTTTGAATAATCGCGGGTTTTGATATCGCTAAAACGTACATCCACTATAGCCGGATTCCTGAACTATATCGAACGTTGTCGCATACGTCACACTTGGGATTTTCGGGGCGCCATCTACCCGCCGGGATTGGAACTAAAATGTTACTATAGTATATGCTTGACATACCCCCACCACGTCCTCCGCACCTCTATACCTATGAACACTCAACGCTGCGGCTTGACGTGTACGCGACTGCGGAAATTTCTGCCGTCCGTATTTTTCCAACTGCCGCGTCACCGCCGACCGCCGTTGTTGCGTTAGTATTTACACGTAGGGCTATCGAACGGTGTACACGAGCGTAAGGCGTAATTTCCAAATGGCAGAGGATCTAGTAGACACTGAACTGTTCATTGATGAAATACTCATTCGAAAGTAATTAAAAAATTTCGTTTCGTCAGTCCTCAAGTCGTTGAAACTTGAAGAAAAAGCACTTTACAATAAGCATACACTGACATAGGGGTGAACCCAATATCTTTTTTGCTTTCTTATAAATAATTTATAGATGAAATATGCGAATACAACTCTCTTTATAATATTTATTTCCATTTCAATCGATCTACACAATCGACTCGAATAGTTCAACAGCAAGGCATACTACTGCACTGTTTTTTAACGCTGTTTATGAACTACAATACAATAGTCGCAGTCACGTAACCATCGCGTTATCGTCGCGTCACTTTACGCCCGTCTGCAACGAGTCTTACTATGGTTTATATAATATTCAGTAAAAAAAGATGGATACAAGTCTCCCTATTTGAGTGTTCACCTGATTTAAAATCGGGAATCTCGAGGAACACATGAATTCATTCGACCAATCAAAAACGTGGAACTAGTTCTCGTTTAGGTGGCGCGTCAACGCGGCAAAGCATGGACTCCAGATTCCCATGCGTAGTATTACTAAATATACTCGACCAATCAAAAACGTGGAACTGCTTCGTGGGCCCTCCGCTAACGTGACGCGCCGAAACCAGAATTAAAAATGAGGTCACGAAAAACAGGGCCATTGGCAATCTCCCTACTCATCTCTGTTACAGGAGTAACATTCGACTGCTACGGAAGTACCCGTGGGCCAATTGAAATTTGGGATTAAGAGCCAATAAGAATACAGAAAAAAAAAGAAAGACCAATTGAAATAATCCACGAAAATAACGGCGGTGACGACGTTTAGCAATAGTTTTTACTTGATTTGGAGTGATTTGGAGAAATTCTGTGTTTTTCAGAGTTGCATAGTGGCCCATTAAAGTGAATATTTCAAAGGATCAGAAAATATTTGAAACACGAGTTAAAAATGAAGCTGCTTTTAGGTAATAAATACATTAATTTAAAAAAAAATATTTTTTCTACAAGTTTGTTGATATTTTATCGGTTATTACAAGTTTGATAAAAATAGATGTGCAATATAATCATTGAGTTTTTCACATATTGTAATGCTTTTATAATGCTTGTATGAAACTGAATTTGATTTGGACTTTTTGAAATGATAAATCTTTTTAATTTTTTTTTAATATACAGTACATCTGTAATTAGCTAACTAAAGTATGATTTTTTTTTTATTTAGCCCTCATGTTTCTAGTGAAGGAGGCATTTAGTATGTATTCATCTAATTCTGACGTAATTGATTTGAAACCCAACAATTTTGATAGTAATGTTCTACATAGTGACAACGTTTGGATTGTTGAGTTTTATGCTCCATGGTGTGGGCATTGTCAGCAGTTAAAGCCAGAATATGAAAAAGCTGCTACAGCTCTTAAGGTAATATTTAAAATAAGTATACTTTCTTAATATGATAAAAATACAGAATACGATTTCTTGAAGGGCTTCATATAAAAAAAACCTAAACATTCACAGTTGAATCAAGGAGTCATATTTTGCAGTTTAACTATTAATATTGCTAACAGTGATGCAGAAAACTGCATAACCTTTTGCTAATACATATTATCTTTTAGAGGACAAATGAGTTGATGTGATTTTTACAGATTTTGACATATAATTTTAATGCATATTATAAAGTGTAATCGTAGGAAAAATACCAGGCTGATGTGAAGCTGAAAAATGGTATTCCTATCTGGTCCAGGAACAAAACAAAAAATTTTTCATAAAAAACTTACAAGACTCAACTCTTGATATTATTATAAATATATAGTAAGCATAAAATAGCTTAATGTTTGTGATTATATTATATCTATATTTTTCTATCTGAATTTATTATAAAAGCAAGTTTAATAAAACCCTGGGTAATGCACAAGATACATTCTTAAAGTTTATTGCACTAAAATAAACAGCATTTCACAAGCAAGCATTGATCAGAGTATTAGTCTGATATAAAGTAGGAAGGTTGTAAATGTGAGTTAAGTGAATAGATAATATAAGTTCTTGATCACAATACTTAGTGTATCAAAATGGCTAGAACTCTAATCCCTACATCTGATTGCTTTCCTTTCTATTCCCGATGTTTTTTTCCTAATATGTAAAGTAAATCAGAATAGATCAGATAATGGTAATTAACTTAAATATATGTTAAGTTCTATACAAGGATAAATCAGAAAATCAGCCCTCTATCATTAGTTTATTATTTCATAAAAAATCATACTTTTATGTAATACAGGGTATTGTGAAAGTTGGTGCAGCGAATGCAGATGAACACAAGTCCCTTGGAGCAAAATATGGCATCCATGGATTTCCAACAATTAAAATCTTTGGTGCCAATAAAAATAAGCCTGATGACTACAATGGTGAGCGAACTGCTGCTGCCATTGTTGATATTGCACTTAATGTTGCTAGTCAAAAAGCTCGAGCAATATTGGGGGGTAAGAAGAGTGGTAACGAATCTAAGGTAAATATTAGTTTTATTACCTAATATTTAATATGAAGACTAGGATAATTATGCTAATGCAATAATTCTTTTGCAGCAGAAGAATTCTAAAGATGTCATTGAGTTGACAGATGAGAACTTTGATAAATTAGTATTGGATTCAGAAGATATGTGGTTAGTTGAATTTTATGCTCCTTGGTGTGGTCATTGCAAAAATTTGGCACCTGTCTGGTCAGCTGCTGCTACAGAACTTAAAGGAAAAGTCAAGTTGGGTGCTATTGATGCAACAGTTAATACCATAAAGGTAATTGACAACATTTATTTATGGTACATTACAATACAATTGAGAATATAATTGAACATTTTTTAGAGTTAAACTTACAAATGATTATGATTATAAGTGAAGTTTGACATTTAGTAGGCGCACTTCAGTATTTTCTTAATTTACTAGCCGACCAGGCGAACATTGTTCTGCCATATAAATTATTTCCAGTGAATATTTTGGTTAAAAAAAAAATAACGAATGTATTGTAAGTGTGTGGGGATGGGATCTATGACAAAAAGAGGAATTGAGCGCTATAGACTATGACCGCCGATAAAAACAAAAGAACACCAACCATTCATTTTCTCAATTCAATGTATTTTATTACCGTAACGGACATATTCATTGTTTGATCTCTTAAAAGTTAAATGTAAAGTGAAAAAAAGTAATATATTTTTTATCCTAAAGTAGGAAAATGAAATAAAGAAAATCAATATTAATTTCGAAGAGCAATTGAGTGTACCGCAACGTGCATCCACACGATTGATGTCCTCACCTCCCAAGAAGTAGATTTGTAAAAATTTATGTGGTTCATTTGGCATTGGCAGCAATAAGCCTACTTTGTGGTACACTTGGCCTTTGATTTTGAATGTTGAATTGTATTGTTGACCACTTGCTGCAGTATTGTGAACTATTTCTGTTGCTCCGAACGAAGTCATTTGGAAGTATGAATTGAATGTGCGAATGGACTTCAGGAACAGGTTCGAATCTGGATCCGTGCCGATGAGCAAGCCGTTCAATGGTTCTGGTGGTGTCTCACTTTCTGGTAGTTACACTTTTCCTGAAGCACAACACATCCCGGCTGACTCATGTTTGAATTTGAGCGCATGACAATAGGGACATTCTTTGCCCATAGCACCAATCAGCACTTTTGGATGAGCGGCATATTCAATATCTGGCTGGTACTCGAATGCGAGACGAAGGAACGAAGCGGATGTAAATGCTCGATGTACTTGTTGGCGTTGTCGGTCATTTGCTCTGCATGTGTTAACTACGAACCGGCGCGCTTGTCTCCGTTCCAATTGTCGTTGTTGATTTCGTTCAGGTCGTGCCTCTTGTGATTGAGATGCACGCAATTGCGACATACTCATACGCATATTTTCGTTATCTTGTTGGATTTGTTCGTTTGTTCTTTCTGCTCTACTATTTCGCATGTTTGTAGCTTTATTCGTTCGACAGCCTAAATGGGCCCCCTTGCGTCTTGCTGGCATTGTTCACTGTAATACATACACACACAAATAGACAAAATTGTTTTACTTACTGATGAAAAACGGTATACCGATAATGGATTTATTCTTTTAGTATTTTACCAACCTTTCTTATAAATTAAAATTGTTCACTGTAATACACACACACACAAGTAGACAAAAATTGTTGTACTTACTGATGAAAAACGATATATCGATAATGTATTTGTTCTTTTAGAATTTTACCAACCTTTTTACAATCATAAAATACGTATATATTATTTATAAATCAAAATTGACATTTCATGATTGAAATGTCAAAATGACGTGCGTGCGTGACACATGCGTGGATGAAGTTCGATGAGGCGGATGTGGCGCCATCTATCATTCAACGACATAAATAATTTTGTTCTGTTTGAAATATGAACGACGATTAAATTATTTGGATATTGTTCATAAAAAAATACTAAAATCGCGTATAAGAATATCGCGTATTAAGAAATGGAAGGTTGGGGGGTAGGAGTGTGAAAATTTGGAGTTTTAGGTATTTTCTGATGCCGAATAAAAATTAAATACAAAAAAAATTTTTAACAAATATAAATACAAAAAATTTTTCTGGATAGGGACCCTAATCACCTAGCGGTATGAAATATACTTTACGATCTATTCTCATACCTACCAAATATACATAAAAAATTTCATAAAAATCGTTCGAGCCGTTTCGGAGGAGTGCGACCTTAATCACCGTGACACGAGATTTTTATATATAAGATTATTTATATCTCAACTAATAATTATATATTTAATTATTTGCAGGCGAGCCATTATGGAATTCGTGGTTACCCGACTATTAAATACTTCGCTCCTGGAAAGAAGAACAGTGATTCCGTTTTAGAATATGATGGTGGTCGCACGAGTAGTGATATTGTAAATTGGGCTATGGATAAATTATCTGAAAATATTCCAGCGCCAGAAGTTATTCAAGTTATAAACGAACACAGCTTAAAGGAAGCATGCGAAGATAAACCACTATGTGTTGTATCCGTTCTTCCTCACATATTGGACTGCCAGTCTGCCTGTCGAAATGCATATTTAGACGTATTAAAGAGCCTGAGTGAGAAGTATAAGAAGAAAGTATGGGGGTAAGCATTTAATTTTTTATCACATTTATTCAATCGTGATATATTGCCTTTTTAAGTTCAGAAAGAAATTCTAGCGCAATGAAAATTGCCTGTGATTTTGCCTGCGATTTACAGCTGTATAAATACTTTAAATATTTGAATAGAGCAGTAGGAAAAAAAACTACTTTAACAAATGGTGGGCGCAGAACTGATGATCATTAAGTGCTCTTTGAAGTACATTAATAGAAATATTTTCAACTGCACTGATACTTAATTTTTTAAGCCATCCAAAATACATGATATTGTATACACTTTATCATTTATATGCCAAAAAAAAATATGAAAATTAATCTGTACAATCATATCTTGGTAACGATAAAATGAACTTTGAACACGCATTATAATATTTATTGTTGGAATAAGGAGTAATAACCTATAAAATGAAAAAAAGATTATTCTATTACTACTATTATCATTTTGTTTTCTCAAAAAAAATACGCACTGTAAAATACGCTCTCTATCTTTTGTGTCTCTTTAGTTTAAACAATCATGTTTTACGATTGTAAAATTGTTATGATACTTACAAGGAACATCACTTTAGTGTCCCCCTCTGATTTTGATGAAACTTAACTATATCGTAGAGCTTGAAAATCTAAGAGACACGTGTTTTTTTTTTTATCGGCGGAAAAACGTTTTTAGGAGGTGAAATCAACCCCTGAAGTTCGGTTTAATGTCGAGGGGTGATAATGCAGTTTCACCTAGAAGGGATCGACCGATTTCAATGAAACAAAAACTAAAATATTTCTCATCACGAGTAATGTAAAGTGCAACTAGACATTAAAATAAAATTGTCTCTTGAGGAGGTGAACCACCCCTCGATTATTCTTTTTTTCACTCTATTTAAAAATCTTACAAATGGAATTTAATGAAACACGTACCATTTGTAAGAGGAAGTAAAATTACAGTTTACATGTTTTTGCTCTTTTGCGGGAAAACACGTTTAAGGGGGGTAAACTACCCCGTGCATACTGATGCACGAATCCCCATATAGAACCACTTCTCGTTAATTAGAAAAATAAAACGTGCAATTTTCATTGAAGATTATAATTATATATCTGTGAATTGGCATAGATTTAATGATTTTTATATTTGAATCACGTAAGTATTTAAAAGAAGGAAAAAAGATGTTAGAAATGACCAAATAGTTCAGCTAACTAAATATGTTATAATATTGGAATAGACCGCGTAACTCACCGGGTAGCGTTCGAGCCTAGTAATCGCGGAGTCACTGGTTCGAATCTCACTTTTAGCATTTTGAAGTTGAGGTTTTGATCTTATTATATTTTGAATTTTTCGAAAAATTAGATTTATCAATATAACTCACAACAACTTTGACCGATTGAGCTCCAATTTTCCAAAAGTATAGAATATCATTTAGCCGTGATATGTCTCAAATTTGTCGAAGATCGGCAAAACGGATCTGTTTATACATATATTTAAGTTTTTGAATTTCAGCCGATTCAAAAATATTAGGCCCGAAAAGATCATGCAAGAGATTTATCTTTACATGCGTTCTCTACAGTATGAAGCACCCCAAGTTGTGAGAGGCATGGGCACTCACGTTAAACAGGCTGATGTTATGAGATCAATTGTTACTACAATTCGACTATTAAGGGTTTATGTTTCACTTAGTGGATGTTAATAATAAGTATAGTACAAAACAACACGTTTTTTAGACGATAAATGTGATTGTGGTTAATTGGGCAGGTAAACAATAAATAAAATATGGGTACAGAGATGTTTTTTGTTTCGCTGATTGCAAATGCGAGCTCGAAATGCAGAAATTCAAAATGGTGGATCCAATATGGCGGACCAAAATGCACAAAATATCTTGATGAAGATGAAACATGGTATTTGGTTCTTTTTTGGGTTGCTGTATATGAATATGAGCTTAAAATTCAGAAATTCAAAATTGCGGATTCAATACGGTGGACCAAATCGCATCAATTAGCTTGATAAAGATGACCAACTTTCACTTTCATCAAACGATTTTCTGCATTTTGGTTCGCCATACTGGATCCGCTAACTTGTATTTCGGAAAGCTGACCACGGATTCGTAATGAGCGATCTCAAAAACTCCCAAGTCTCAAATTCTAAGTCGAATGCTTGTGAGGAAAAATATATGCTTCAAAGGATTAAACGAATTTAAAAAAAAAAACCAATAAACATTTATATAGTATTTTTATTTAATGTCGTAACTATGATGTCAAACTCTTCGCGAAACGACTTCTAAAATATTCGTTCCTCAAGTTTTTTCAACAAATCAAATCAAGAGACTCGGTCGAGTATCGCGCCAAGTACAGGCAACCGGCTGTACAGGGCACAGCTCGCAGAGACTCTTTATTTGAGTCAACTCTTATACCTGTGTTTGGAACGAAATATCTTATTAACCGCTATACATGAGAAAAAGTTATTGATACATTCACTATAGGAATTGAGGGTTCTGAATTGCTTGCCACCACGTTCAATACGATTTGTGTACGAGATTAGGGCGTATTGAGATGGCGAGCGAGATGATTTTATTTCAGTTCCGTCGTCGTCGTCGTCGTCGTCTTCGCACGTCCATCGCCTTTTTTACACGACAGATGGCGCTGACTGCTTTACCTTCTTTACCTATTTGTATTGTACTTTGTATGGTGTTAGTAATTTACGAATATACAACACAATCAAATACACTTTATACGTGAAGCTACCGTTCATACCGAATTTCCAGTTAGTATAAGGGTTCTTTCACACAGTATAGAATTATTAAGTTTTTAATAGCATTCATGTGGAGCGCGCGTGTATGGGTGTACGTATGTGTGTACTTCGATATAGTTTCTCGTATTTTAGATGACAGCTTTTAGAGATATAGGATGTCCAGGTGTTCCGCTCCGTACTTTGCTGTATCTAGGTGCCGGGCGTGGAAATCCAGGGTGTCCAGGTGTTCCGCTCCGTAGTTTCTTGTATCTAGGTACTGGATGTGGAAGTCCAGGGTGTCCAGGTGTTCCGTTCCGTAGTTTTCTGCATCTAGGTGTCAGACGTCGAAGTTCAGGGTGTTCGGGTGTTCCGCTCCGTAGTTTCTTGTATCTAGGTACTGGATGTGGAAGTCCAGGGTGTCCAGGTGTTCCGTTCCGTAGTTTTCTGCATCTAGGTGTCAGACGTCGAAGTTCAGGGTGTTCGGGTGTTCCGCTCCGTAGTTTCTTGTATCTAGGTACTGGATGTGGAAGTCCAGGGTGTCCAGGTGTTCCGTTCCGTAGTTTTCTGCATCTAGGTGTCAGACGTCGAAGTTCAGGGTGTTCGGGTGTTCCGCTCCGTAGTTTCTTGTATCTAGGTACTGGATGTGGAAGTCCAGGGTGTCCAGGTGTTCCGTTCCGTAGTTTTCTGCATCTAGGTGTCAGACGTCGAAGTTCAGGGTGTTCGGGTGTTCCGCTCCGTAGTTTCTTGTATCTAGGTACTGGATGTGGAAGTCCAGGGTGTCCAGGTGTTCCGTTCCGTAGTTTTCTGCATCTAGGTGTCAGACGTCGAAGTTCAGGGTGTTCGGGTGTTCCGCTCCGTAGTTTCTTGTATCTAGGTACTGGATGTGGAAGTCCAGGGTATCCAGGTGTTCCGCTGCGTAGTTTCTTGTATCTAGGTGTCGGACATAGAAGTCCAGAAAAGTGTGTAACAAGCGCCGCTGTGGTCAGTATGTTTAGAAATGTTCATTGCATCGATTAATAGGGTTTTTATTGTTTTATTTATTTTAGAAGTATGAGTTTTCCATGAATGTACGATCTAAACCCCGTTATCTGTTTCACTCCGATTATTACCATGTAAAATTCTCAAAGTTTACGAGCATATCTCTGGAGTCAAACTATCAAAAGATTCTAAACTTTGCAAATACACTCTAGGAATCTTAATCATTTATTTGATATAATTTTTATCTACCCATCTAGATTTCATCTAAGTGGAAGTTATTGAGGCCAAGTACATAAGTCACTACATGTTTGCCTATTATATGATCTAGCACTGGCCCATCATTTAAGTTGTATTTTAAAAATTTCCTAGAACGTTTTCCCTACTCTTTTACATTACTACTGCTTCCCGTAGTTAATTATGATTTAATGGTTATTTAATAATTAATAAAACTTTAGCTGATTTCTTATCGAGTACTACTTGGCGGGTCCGTGCATTTCTTGATATAAATTTGCGTTCATTATACGAGTCATAAAACTCAAAACCAATGTCAACTTTCTATATAGAGCTTATTAACAATAACTCGTCAAAAATAATCACGGTAAAAGCTTAATAACAAACATATAGCTTTAGGATACTATTAGCACGTTCAAAGTAAGTACTTTGGCATTCTTGGCACGGACCCGCTAAGTAGTACTCGATAAGGAATCAGTCAAAGTTTTATTAATTATTTAATAACCTTTAAATCATAATCAACTACGGGAAGCAGTAGTAATGTAAAAGAGTAGGGAAAACGTTATAGGAAATTTTGAAAATACAATTAAAATGATGGACTAGTGCTAGATCATATAATAGGCAAACATGTAGTGACTTATGTACTTGGCCTCAATAACTTCCACTTAGATGAAATCTAGATGGGTAGATAAAAATTATATCAAATAAATGATTAAGATTCCTAGAGTGTATTTGCAAAGTTTAGAATCTTTTGATAGTTTGACTCCAGAGATATGCTCGTAAACTTTGAGAATTTTACATGGTAATAATCGGAGTGAAACAGATAACGGGGTTTAGATCGTACATTCATGGAAAACTCATACTTCTAAAATAAATAAAACAATAAAAACCCTATTAATCGATGCAATGAACATTTCTAAACATACTGACGCAACGCCAGACTGATTGACCGTACTGTATATCTATGAAGCGAAACTTTCGACAAAATTTCAACAAGTTTCCGATAAGACGCAAGTGTCATAGCGGTGGTCGCAACAGTCGGGCGAGAGTTTGGCAGACATACATAGCTATAA